TGACCGTGCGTAGTGGCGACAATCTAGGTCCAGGTGTTTTGAAATGTGCTGAATTTCTCGTATTACAATTCCATTGATCGATAGAAATACACAAACCGTAAAGGATCAACATCATCAACAAAAACAAAAGAGATTATTGAGCGTTGATTTGTTTATTCAGCTACCGGCCAGCACTCTTTGAAATTAATTACACAAATTATCTGTTTCATCACTGTGGTTTTGTTTATACTAATTACAGCTACTGATTTGTACAATCTCGGTCAATGACGTCATGGAGTCACGTGTAATGCGTGTGTCACCTATCATTACGGCGTGGTTTGGTGCCTGGCGCCCGATGCTCATGATCTTGGCAATGCAAATAAGCACGGTTTCTTTTTTTAGTCACCGTGATATAAGTAAACAGATGGTAACTTGTTAGAGCACCGAGAGACAAAGTGTCACGGTAAATATGGGTTCTCGTGACGCCACGTTTGAAACACACTGAAACAGACGTGGATATTGATTTTGAATAAAATAAATAGCTTTTGTGTTACGTATTTATTCCAGGCTTTACTTTATATGAACCGTTTGATTTATGTGGCGATCAGCGTTCAAGTTCAGAATTACCATTACATTTACAACTGCGCATGCGCGGGTTTGAAAAACAGCAATTATAGCTTTCTTGCTTTGAGCTCTTGTCATTTGTTATTGTGTTCTTAGCTTTGAGATACTATGATGTGATATTCGGTTGGGAAAAATCGAGTGGACTGGGTTCCCCGGCTAGGTTCACATATTTGACATAGGCTTGCACAAAGATGACCAACCAATATCGTATTTTGACAACAAATCATTCACAAGAGACAGCAAATCTCTCAATTCAAGCTTCTCCCAACGTAAATCAGTAAGATTCGTAAACGTTCTAACTACGCATGCGTCCTCTATATGGACCCATAGTTCCTAGGGACTGTGGACATGCTGTACTGTTTAAGATGGCGTTGTTTAATACGTCATTATTGTCACACATCTCGTTTACAGCACAACTTGAATGAAATCTACGACATTGCCGTCCGTACAGGTTTTTATTTTTACCTCCAATGTACAAACATGGGGATATCTTATTTTAGCTCTATGATACAACCACGTACTACTATTGTTCTACTATATATCACGGTGTCCCCACCATAGACAGACAGTGGGTAGACTGTATATAAATAGACTCAACACGGTGATTTGCAGATTATTAAGAGCATTGTCTGTGATTTGTTTCTGTATTTAAATATCGATAAAAGATGCTCCCTCAAGTGAGTGACAAAAGCCACTAGTCTGGCTGAGTCAAAAAGAGATCAAATCCAATGATTTCTAACGTCACGATTTAATAAAATTGATAAGCAATCCAACAATTGCTATTTATAGGTAGTAGGACACACTGTTTAAATACCCGGAAAATAATAATAAACATGAAAATCAGGTGGTAAATTTATGTTTATAATTCTAATTTTTCACATTGAAAACAACGTTTGTAGACATTGAAATTTATAGTAGATCCATGAACAGACCCTCTATCTATCTGTCTATCTATCTATCTATCTATCTATCTATCTATCTATCTATCTATCTATCTATCTATCTATCTATCTATATATGATCTAATGGGTCATTAATATTTTTTTACATTATTTCATGTAACTGTATTGTAGTAGATTTTAGATATCTAACTTGTTATGTTTATTTTAACACCTTTATTGCATTTCATAAACCAAAATAGATATGTAATTCATTCTATAAGGTTGTAATAAAGAATTATCTTATCTTATCTTACCAAATATATATATATATTGGTTGTGAACCATGGTATACAATGAAAATCTAGACGCTTCATGGAACACCCTCGACAATCACAACCATGTTTGTATGTTTTTCTCACCTTTTACACCAAATTTCTGAGATAAACCACTAGCACAATTGAAGTGGATTGGCCAACTCCGCATGGAGTCCGCAACAGCCATAGTAATTTGAATGCAGGTAAATGTCAACAAACCCTCATCAAAACAAATTAAAGAATTGTCACCTAATGTAGTAACATTTTTTCAGGAGTTATCCTCTTGTGTCCACATGGACTCCGCAACAGCCATAGAAATTTGAATGCCGGTAAATGCTAACAAACCCTCATTAAAACAAATCAAAGAATTGTCACGTAAAGTAGGAACCCGCATGGTTCCATTATGACGGGTGGAGATCCGGAAATAGTAGCACTGTGTGAAATATCATGTCTCAAAACTGAAGACGATAGAATTCATTATATCATACAGTATTCAAAGTAAACAAAGACTTTTCTGTTAAGTGCCACGCGTTGAACTAATTCAGAACGAAACCATATTAAAATATCCTTTGTGCACTTTTAGAACGCGTGTCAGCTTGCCAGAACAAAATCCCAAATCAATTGGTCGATTGTTGGTGACAAAGCATCGACATAACGAGTTACAGTGTCTTGCGTTCGTTTTGTTCAATATTCCCATTCATCACGTACACTTTATGACGCGTCCTCCTTTGTGTGTTTCTCTTCAAAAATCCGGCACGCGAACGCGTCTTTGTCATGGTAACACACCCACGTGCTTACTGTTTTTACACCCAATTCACGAAAAATAGCTCCACCCCTAGATTTCCGTGAGGGATACGTCCCGCCCCGACAACCATTCCGCCCACAAATAAAAACTCATGAAGTATTCATAATTAAGGTTCCGCTACACCCCAGGCAAGTCTTTGTTTGTGTCGCGTGCCACTTTTAACTTCGAATAAACAAACAAAAGATTTATAGGAATACCACATTTTCTTTGTACAAAGTAACCGTGGTCCCGAGGACATCTGTATTAAAATCGAGCTAATAACGCAGTTTATTTTCTATACGATTGAGAAGATTGTGTATACCCAGTTATATTGCTTATATTGCTTTATATTTTCCTAGACAACGTTAGAAATAATGTTCATATTCAAAATATCCGTCCGGTATAACGGATATATATGGTTCTACATGTACACTTGATGTACAAAATATAGGTGCATGATTCTAAAGGATCAAAACTGGAAAAACAATATCGTGAGCGTATCAAATGCGCGTCAACAATGAACATAATATGGTGTTGAATTCGAGTTGGTTGTTTACTAGAAATACATAAGTTCACTTTGACCATACTCCTCTACAAGATTAGAGGATCTATGTTTTGACATTGTATACACGTCAACGTATCCGTTATCATTGACCTCCTTCCCCACGAAACAAACTCAGTGACGATTAGGTCGAGTGTCGAGGTCACACAGCTGCGGACGCACCTATTGAAAAGTTCAACCTGTCACGATTTGGGGGTCCTGTCGCAGCAGTGAGAACTGAAAGTGGATTTACAAAGAGCTGTCACGATTTAAAATAACATCTCAGATATTCGACTCCGTGTACTTTTCAGTGAATTCTTATATTTAACCATATACCTTAGATATCTTTCTAAGGTCTATGATTTAACATAAGTTTTAAGTTCAAGTTGTTGACGAATGGTCACGGTAACTTGACACTGGTGCAAGTTAATGTTCAATAATAAACAAACAATAAACACTGGGAAGGGGAAAACTAATATTTGGCGTGCGCACAAATAAATTATATGGTTCACATCTGTTTTTAGTCAATTTATTTCGATGAAAAACAAAATATAAAACCACACATATCTTCCCTTCTTTACGGATTATTACTTACGTGCCAGTTTTTTGGCACCATGTATGGTGGTATCGGCAAATTGTCCAATGACAATTCAAATTTCAAATTTTCGATATACTAAAGGACGAGTGCAATATAGCTAGACGGATCCTAGACGAAATGTCTAGTCTATGTGTTGGCTGCAGCATGAATGTGAAATAGATTTTAACTCTATGGTTGTGACTTAATCCTGCCAGTTGAACGACTATGATCACTGTACTGAACGTGGCTTCAAGTTTTATGACTACTGCCCTCAACGCTTTGAGACGATTCTCGCCGCAAGCGAAGTATGCCTGAATCACGATCGGAACCAATAAACCTCGGTTTGTATGTTCATGGCATGGGGGCCGGTGGCCCTAGTCGGGATCGCAGTAGCCTATCGGCGAGTAACTAGAATCGAGTCTAGAATTTTCCATCTTCCTGATGACAGAAAGGGCTGGAGCAGGTCCGTCTGGTCATGGGTGCACCAACAGAAGAAGAAGATTGAGTGTCTACTACCGGGATGAGTTTTGGAATTTATTTTCCTCAAGCTTTACAGTATCATTGGACATATTAAAATTGCTTATATATAATTGTAAACCATAACACAGATCTTTCGAATATCAATATGTCTTCACGGTTATCAAGGACAAGGTTTAGAATTATTTAAAATTAATTTGTATACACGCTTATACTGGTAAATTGTAACTTGTATTTTTGAAATTGTGTTCCGATTTGAATGCACACTGACGCACTGACAGGATGGGTTGGCATCGGTGCCGTGGATTATGGTTGTTTAACGTTGGTGTTGAAGAGAGGGATTCAGTAAGTCTAACATTTAATTGAAGGATTATCAAAACTTCTCATAGAGTGATATCTGAGCCGACATTTAGAGGGTCGATTATTCAGTGCAGCTTTCTCAGACTCTGATGTTTTATACAACAATTTCAACATAGTTACATTCCTAAACAAGGATAGCTTGCACAGTTCGCATTGCTTCAATGCCTGTTAGTAACGAGTATTGGAAGGGACGGGGGGCGTCATGGACGAAACTACGCGATCCTCTCAAGTGGTTATTATACAATCATCTGAGGCGATTACCCAAAAATATTCATTGCATAGGGCGTTTGTTAATTACAATTGTTTTGGCAAATATGTTGAGCCAGCAGTGAAGTTGAACGCTGCTCCCCGAGTACATCCGACAGTCTTCAGCCGTTGCTCAGTTTACGGTCTACGATTTATAGCCCGCCCTCAATGAAATCAATAACAGTGGAGAAATTGAACAACAAACACATCAACAAAAATGGCGTCTTTTCGATTTACGCATGTTTTCTCACAAACTACCAAATATTTGCCAACTGTGGCATGTTCTGAGGTTAAAGTTAACATAGTATGTTTGCAGAGTATAGCTCGTTATTCTATGATTTCTTCAAGCCTACCAGGAGTCGAGGTTCCAGGTGAGAATGATCCACAATCGTACGTAAACTTGGCAGTACCTGTGCACACACACAGCACTCAGACCATACTTGACATTTACATGTTTCTGCTTTACCAAAGCGATGATCCTTTTTATTAATTTCCATCATTTTCAGGCATTTTTTTTATGTGCTATAGTTTTTTTTGAGAGAGATCCTCTTCATCTTGCCATCTTCTCAGTCAGTGCAAATAACGTGTTACAGTAAATATGAATAGCGCCCCCACATGTTAAAAACGAAGGAATTGAGTAAACGTTTCTCATCAAATGATTACATCAAGAGTTTATAAGAGAAGGGTAAAGGCAGAAAACTGTTTTATAAACATAATATGTAGCAGGCAATGCCTAATGAACCAGCGCAACCGGGTAGTTTATTGATTTACTAAAAATAAAACTTGACGTAATCATGGAGCGTCGAAACGCATGAACTGTGTAAGTTTTTGACGAATGGTCACGGTAACTTGACACTGGTGTGAGTTAATGTTCAATAATAAACAAACAATAAACACCGGGAAAGGGAAAACTAATATTTGCCGTGCGCACAAATAAATTGTATGGTTACATATGTTTTTAGTCAATTTATTTAGATGGACAAGAAAATAAAATATGAAACGATACATTTTTTCTCTTTTTTCGGATCATTCGGCAAATTGTCCAATGACAATTCAAATTTTTGAAATACTATAGGACAAGTGCAACATAGCTAGACGGATCCTAGACAAAATGTCTTGGCTGCAGCTGAGCATGAATGTGCAATAGATTTTAACTCTATGGTTGTGACTAATCCTGCTAGTTGAATGACTATGATGACTGACTGTACTGAGTGTGGCTTCAAGTTTTATGACTACTGCACTCACCTCAAGTGAAGTATGCCTAATCACGATCAGAGCCAATAAACATCATGTTCATGGCCTGGGGGATGGTGGCCCTAGTCGGAATCGCAGTAGCCCATCGGCGAGTAACTAGAATCGAGTCTAGAATTGTCCAGGCATGTATTGAGTGTCTTTACCATCTTCCTGATGACAGAAAGGGCTGGAGGAGGTCCGTCTGGTCATGGGTGCACCAACGGAAGAAGAAGATTGAGTGTCTACTACCGGGACGAGTTTCGGAATTTATTTTCCTCACGCTTTACAGTATCATTGGACATATTATAATTGCTTATATATAATTGTAAACCATAACACAGATCTTTCGAATATCAATATGTCTTCACGGTTATCAAGGACAAGGTTTAGAATTATTTAAAATTAATTTGTATACATGCTTATACTGGTAAATTGTAACTTGTATTCTTGAAATTGTGTTCCGATTTGAATGCACACTGATGCACTGACAGGGTGGGTTGGCATTGGTGCCGTGGATTATGGTTGGGAGGGATTCAGTAAGTCTAAAATTTAACTTCTCACGGAAAGCAAATATCATAAATAATAATGATACTATGATGAGATAATAATAACTGATTTATCTATCTGTATTTTGTAGATTTATCAACACAGATTAATAGAAGACGAAGTAAACAAATAGCATTCAGGAATAAATTTGTAAAAGCACCTGTAAGTACAAATGTGTCAATTTATCTCCATGAATGTCTTGAAGCAATACACAAATATGACACCAAATTCTCTTGCTATATGCTACATTACATATTTCACTCGGACATCTACTGAAATCTGTTCTCATTGATCCAAGCCATCATAGTCAAATATATTGGAGACATTATCTGAAGGACTCTGATGTGGCCTTACAGATGATGGTTTGGGTCACACACATTTTTCAATAATAAAGTATTTTGTCATGCAATTTATCAACTATGGGTTGTTATCTGTTTTACTAGTCTGCGTCAATTCAATTTACCATTCTGTTACCATAACATGACAGGTTTGTTCTACCGGAAATATTTATAACTGTCCTCATTTGCATTCATCTAAAAGTAAATTGGTGACAACTTCTTGGATTTTTGGAGGAAATTTTTTATCATAAGTGTTCTCCCCAGGCCTTTCAAGTACTGCGGGCCCGCGTCGCTTAAACAAACAGCCGCGTCGCTTTTGTTTCGCCCGCGATCCTTGAAATCCTGCCCGCGATGCTTATTCACGTTGTATTGTTTACAAGTGTCAGCCTCGTCTAGCACATCTTTAAAACAATAACATGTATTGATCGAAAGGTAGTCCCACCTTTGTACATAGTTAGCCTTACAAAAACAGTGATAAAAACGGAAGTCTACAAGAAGTTACCAAGTCTATCAAGGGTGCGGAGCTGGCAAACCCAAAATACTAGGGTAGTAATAATTTGCCCATTGCATCGGGATGGTCTATCCCGAGTTGCTGCACTGCGATTAATTGCGTTTTTACTACTTCATCGCCAGTGACACTAATTACCAAGAATTAAAAAAACAAGTGAAATTAAGTCGCATCGAAAAAAAAAACTGTAAATAAATCGAAGTAAAAATTATTCAACTGCAGACGAGACGGACGAGGAAAAACGAACCCTGACCTCTAGAAATACCTCATTCATAGTGCGTCATTACCG